TTGCTACACACTCATGTACAGTAGGTGGCGGTATGCACCTTAAAGTTGCTTGCAATCCGCCATAATAGAAGAGAAGAAGAAGAAGAAGAAGTCTCATTGTTGGATCATTGTTCTGTCTACCTGGTCGTGTCCTGTTCCAAGTTCTTCAAGTCAAAGTGAGTTTTTGCTGTATTATCAGCCTCTTTGAGTTTTCATTAGAGGCCTTGTGCTTTTTTGACTTTTGACATCTGCCTGTGACCTGGGTTATTTTGTTGGTCCTGACATGTGGGGCCTCAGCCTACTCAGGAATCAGATCAGACAGGTGAGAGAGGAGGGGGGAGGTGTGGGGCAGAGCCTTGTCGACATATCCAGCCAGGAAGGATTTAGTCAGCAGACCAAGGCCGTTGTCGGGGAGATCCAGATTCTGTAATCAGTTGTTTTGGGAACAGAGAGTCAGGCAGACAATAATTTTCTATCTGCTTTGGTAAAATGGTAAATGGACTGTACTTATATAGCGCCTTTCTATCCATCTTGGACACTCAAAGCTCTTTACACTGCAGACATTCATCTATGCACACACACATTCACACACAGATGATGGCAAACTACACTGTAGCCACAGCTGCCCTGGGGCACACTGACAGAGGCGAGGCTGCCATTCACCGGCGCCACTGGACCCTCTGACCACCATTAGTGTCTGCTGGTACATCTCAATGTGGCGATTCCAATCAGACAAATAATGTGGACAAATTCTGCCGAGCCAAATCTATCAGTTTTCTCCGAGATCAATTCCATCTGGCCAGCAAAGTCCAGGGACCACAGCCAGCCCGCGACCTTCAGTAGAACTGCTTGTAGACTGAGTCCAGCTCGCTCAAGGCAAAATGTGCGAGTTTTGATAGAATACAGCCATCCATCCAGTTGGTCAGTCAGCTAGGAAATTAAAAGCCACCGACACTGGTTTGTAGACCACCTGTAGACCACCAAGCCAATCTGTAGAATCAAGTGATCAGAATCCAAAAATATATCCAGCTAGTTTATATATCCAGAACAGAGGTCCCACCTTTGACATGTCCTCCCACAGAAGAAAAATAAACTTTATTCCAAAAATTTTATTAAGAGACCAGCTAACCAAATCCATANAGAACAGAGGTCCCACCTTTGACATGTCCTCCCACAGAAGAAAAATAAACTTTATTCCAAAAATTTTATTAAGAGACCAGCTAACCAAATCCATAAAAATAAAAAAAATCCATAATTTCCAGTTTCGGATGAAAAATATAAAGAAGGCTCCAGCAGCAAAGCAGGGAAGGATAAGGAAGGGCAGGAGAGAAGGGAGAAGCTTCTTACTCCTTCGAGAGCGGAAAGGAAAAATATGGATTGATGTAATGTAATCATCAATCAATTGATCGATATATCGATGTGGATCAATGTATTGTTACACCCCTAGTGGGGAATTGAACCTGTGACTATCTGGCCCAAAGATAATTGTCCTACCTCAGTGCCACATTTGCCCCAAAAGCTTACAGTAACACGCCTGTTAGAGAACTGAACCATGGTGTTCTGATCAGAATCAGTTTTATTACCATTGACAATGAACAGGATTCACAAACTAGGAATTTGCTTCAGTTTAAAGGTGCAATAAGTATCAAATATAACAAATGAAGAAAAAAACAAATGAAGAAAAAAACAAAGATTAAAGGAAAAATATAATAAAATATATAAAACATATGTACACCGGTTCAGTACGATCAATAAGAGAAGCGAGACAAAACATACTTCCTTTATTTTTAGAAGAATCCCTTGAAAAACGTCACATTCAGATTTGATGCTGCCGCTTGTTTCAGGGATGTGAGCGTGACTCCAGTCAGTCAGAGAGCAAACAGAGGAGCCGTAGAAAAGACACAACCTACTCCAAACATCAACTTCCCTCCTGGACGGCCCTCTGCAGAAAACATCGACTCACTGTGTGGCAACCAGATGCTTCGACCTCTTTATACCACCAAGTGTCTGCCACGCTCAGGCAACAAGCTGCTGGCTCGACAGGTGAACACCATCAACCGCTTGGAGGTGGGATTCAAACGCTGCTGCCAACTGAAGAACGGGGCGCTCAACTGTGCCGACCTGAAGGTAGAAACAAGTTGTGTGTTCTGTGTGTCGGATGGGTTTCTGATCACACTTATATTCTTTTTCTCAGTGGCGCCAGGAGATGAACAAGTACTGCTTGGTTCGGAAAGGGAGTCAAACATTTTCCCAGTGCTGTGTGGATAAAAAGGATGATGATCGGTTCAGATGTTTTCAGTCTGATTCTCCAGACCCACATTATAACACAACTTCTGCACCTGAGGAAAACACTTTTAGCAAAGTCTGTAGAGTTAGAAGCAGGGAGACCAGGTAGGAGCATGCTGCACCTCTTGTTTCATTTAATGATATAATGCAGGGTTCATGCAGGTTTCAGTAAGTTCAATTTAAGACCTTTAGGAACGCATTAACAAACATTCAAATAGTCCCAGAAATTTTAATGTAGAAACCTTTTATTGCTATCAATTTACCTATTAAAGAATATTTAATTTTAATACAAGAACACTAAATTATTTTAAATGAAACGGTGAGACCTTCACATCAACTGCTGTGGACCGCTTCCATCCGAGTGCAAAAATCCCTGATATCAGCCAAGTCTCATTGAAAACACACTTCCCCACGTTGAACCAACAAGCAGAGGACATGACTGAACTTCTTTGTTTTTTGAACGACTCTAAAGGCTGCAGGGGGGTTGTAGTGGCAAAGAGGTTAAAAACATGGAAATAAACTTGTCGTTTTTTAGCCTGCAGTTATCACAGGACTTGTAGTTTAACCATGAACAAACTTTATGAAGACAGATCGTGTCAACCTCTGATTGTTTACTCTGTTTATTTATGCAGACAACACTTCTCAGGAATGATCGAAAAGTAAAAAATTTAAGACAGCAAAATTAAATTTAAGATCTTGGATGAAAATCTGGGTGTTTTTAAGACTTTTTAGGCCTGAAATTTCAATTTTCAAATTTTTGACCTTGTTAGACTTTCTTCAGAGCCTGCATGAACCCTGTTAAAGTCTTGGAGCAGATGTTTAGATGAACTGATGATAATTTGCTCATGTGTAGATTTCCCCTGAAGCCCGTTGTGAAGCGATGCTGCCTCCTGCCTGGAGGAAACCAAAACAGCTGCTTGCAGCAAAGAGTGAGTTGTCAAACAAGAAAGCAAACCAAATAACTTAAAACAAAATGTTTACCATTACCCTCATGGCCTTGTTTTCTTCACACCAGCTGGAGGAATTCTCCCAGAACATGTGCTCCCGAAACAAGAAAGGCAGTCCAGCTGTTCAGCGCTGCTGCCAGCTGCAGACAGGTGAAGAGAGGACTCTACAGTGTCTGATCAACATCTTCATGGATCCCAGCAGCTCCAGTGCAACACGTGTCCAGAGGCAGAAGAAGATGTGCCCCATCCATTAAAGCCCTTTGCTTTTAACACTGAAGCCACTTGTTTCAGACGATTGTTTTTCAGCCACTAAATACAAAGAAGTGATGCAGCACAAACCTGATGTTGAGGTCAGAAACAGTTGTGTTGTCTTCAAACTGTAAACTGATATCTATTTACTGTCAGCGTAAATGAACATAAAGCACTGCTACATTTAAGAATCAAACAAAACTAGCGGAAATGCACAGTTTTTATCAGACCACTATTTTCTTTTCAGTGTTTTTCTTCAGTGTTTGATTAAACTTGGAAACTACAAGATAATTTTTATTATTTTTTACTATGTAGATTTGTATCTGAAACTATTTTAATAAAAATCATTTAAAGGCTTTTCTTACGGTGTATCTATGTGAGACCTGGCATGACAGGCTTAACATTTAACATTAACACTTAACATTTTAAACACAGGTTAATAAATATGTCATAGTTATGGGCTGCTGTTTGTAAAGTAACACAGTCAAAAATTACCACCGATATTTTTGTTTTATTTAACCTTTTATGAGAAAAAAAAGAACAGATTTATTTTTCAAAGTCAGTTTTTCACCATATGATTCATATATTTATAAATGTCATAGTTTATAAACTAAATATTTTAACTTACAAATTAAATATTTAGTTAACAAGCTAAATATTTAATTTGAAACTTAAATATTTAGTTTTGAGTTAAATATTTAGCCTGCAGCTAAATATCTAGTTAGCTACCTAAATATTTAGGTTGCAACTTAAATGTTTAGCTAGATACTTAAATATTTAACTTAAATATTTAGCTAGATGCCTAAATATTTAACTTAAATAACTTGCTAGCTAAATATTTAAGTTGCAACTTAAATATTTAGCTTGTTAACTAAATATTTAATTTGTAAGTTAAATATTTAGTTTATAAACTATGACATTTATAAATGTATGAAAAACTGACTTTGAAAAATAAATCTGTTCTTTTTCTCTAATAAAAGGTTAAATAAAACAAAAATATTGGTAATTTTTTTTCTTCCTACCACTTCAGTAGAAAGCAGAACTGAATATCTGAATATTGGTATCTTAGCTTCTTCATCATCAGTGGCTTTTTTAAGAAGAAAAAGTAAGAGAATAGTGAAATGCAATAGAAAAGAGTGGAATTGGTGGTAATTTTTGACTGTGTAACGTTACAAACGGCACCTCATACACAGATGGTCATTTTTAGGAGGGTTGCTAATGGTCAAACAAAGATTAAAGTGCCTGTGACATTAAATTTCAGTGATATATTTAAGTGCACATTAGGAAAGATAACAGTAATGATGAATTGCAAACAAAAATTCACGACACTGAGATGAACAGTTGTTGAGATATTTGCATGAACAGAAACAGGAAGTGATGTCAGAGGGGAATGCCTGAATGAGCTGTTACAACAGCTAACAACAGACTGCAGAGAATCAAATGTTTCTGTAGATTATTTTCAGTCATTATCAGATAAAGAAGAGTCAGATTTATGAAGACCAGGAAGTTATCCTTTCTTTAAAGAACTCCCCTTTGACATCACTTCCTGTTTCACTTGGACTGCACCAAATTTAGTGAAAAATATGCACGTTTTGTGATGAACTGGGTAAAAATCATTTGAATGATGCCCAGTTTCTAAAATATTAAGATATTTTCTTTATTTTTTTGTAATTGAAGAAAAAGCATGTCACAGCCACTTTAAACCCCGCCATCAACTCACATACTGTATCACTGGATGTCTGCATAATTTGAATAATCTTATTGGATAAATAACAACAGAATGTAGTCTTTTAGTCAAAAGGAGAGAAGTTTTTATTTTCATTCCAAGATGTTACAGTCTGGATACATTTTGGACTAAACAGGATGACACTGTTAATGGAATGACAATGAGTAATAAACTGCAGCATCAAATAAAGAGAAATATATTAATTGATTTGGGATTAACTAGGCAAAGTTATGTCCTTCATTTAATGGAAATGTAGCAAAAGTACTTTGTGTAAGGAAATAAACCAACCAAGTTTCCTATTAGTTTCAATAGGAAACTTGTTTGGTTTATTCTGGACTAAATAGCACAACTGAGACACAACCTGTGTCCTCATAAGGACCTTACTTTTAGCCTCTCTGCATCAGGATGATTTGCCTCATTACAGAACTACCACCACCATCTAGTGGTCATGCTTGAACCTAATGTATTTATGCACAGTTTCATCTTCATCTTCACAAGGCATACAGATTTTTGCAATTGCAGCAAAGTACAATAATAGTAACGTTGAGGTCCTCATTTGAGGACATTGGGATTATATTGTATTGGTTGTGCCAAGCAGTTTGACAAACCTGGATATATTTAGAAGTCACAAATGTAAACAGTTCTTGCAAGTGGTACATTTTCTAAACCAATTAATTTTACTAATGATGTTGTAGTCAAATTATCTGTGATTTCCTGCCATTATTTCATGCAACCATTTGTTAAAACTGAGGAGAAATATGAAAGTCATCATTGATGATGATGATGATGAGGTACATCACTGATCTTGCTCTGGTCATCAGCTAACTGATATATTGCCAAATGACCAGGAACCCCCCACCCAAACAAATAAATAAATAAATAAATAAATAAATAAATAAATAAATGTCATTAAGTTGCATTGTAGTGAGTGATGTTCGTAGATCCAGTGTCCTTATATGAAGACATTTTTTTTGCAAAATGTACTATGACAGAGTCTAGAGATATTATATTTATAATCCCACTAATCCCATGGACCAATCAAATAAGCAAACACATTCACCTGTTAAGTTTTGCTGCTAAAAAACAAAAACACAAATTAAACAACACATTTAAATTTATAGCCTATTGAGTATTAAAAAAAACATGAAATGCAAAGTGAAGCAGGAGCTTGTTTCTATTTTAGTCTTTGTCCAGATGAACATTTATTTCAGAGAGCTGTGCTAACAGAACCTGAGACCATCTCATGTCCGGCCGCCGGGGGCGCTGCTGCGCTGCTGCTGCTGAGCTGCTGAGCTGCTGCTGCTCACAGCTCAACCGTCCGCGCTAATGGCGACTGCTGGAACCGCAGACTCGGGATCAACAGTCCCGACAGGTACCATGTCCGTTATTTCTCCGTCGCTGTCCGACAGATAAAATACGATCTGATCAGTGGGACTTTAAAGAGCGATAAAAATGTCGCTATTTGGTGGCTAGCCGTTTTTCCTCGTTAGCTAGCAGCTAGTTAGCACGGAGGATTTCAGCCGAAATGAAGCAACTAGCGATAGCTTTCATTTAGCTTCGTAGAGAATAAAACCAAGCGGTGGGGCAGCTGGAACATGAGGTCCTGTGGGTGTCAGAGCACACAAAGTTATTTTTATTTTTTATAACGTAGAGTCTAGTGAGTCTGACTATAATCTGTGTGTGTTTGTATGAAGCCGGGTGTGTGTCTGTACCGTTATGTTACATCAGTGATGAGGCAGCAGCATCACACTGGAGCTCAAATGATTATCTTCAGTTATTTCTGGGCTTTTGAGTGTTAAATGAACGTTAAATGATGACAACAGGAAATGAACTGAAGAAAACCCCTCTGTTGTTTCACTCCTCCTCCTCCTCCTCTTCCTCCTCCTCCTCCTCCTCTTCCTCCTCTTCCTCAGAGAAAATCCTCTTTCCATCCGTCTCCTCCTCCTCACTGAACAACTCTTATAATCCTCCGAGGTTTCCTGATGATTGATCTGATTGATTGATCTGATTGATTGATCTGATTGATTGATCTGATTGATTTCTTTACTTTTGTTTAAACAGTTAGGCGTCGTGTTAATGCAGTTTATAGATTTAGCTTCTTTTATCCAGACCCATGTCTTTGTTACACACACACACACACACACACACACACACACACACACACACACACACA